CATGTATGTTTAGTGCGGCACTGTTCACAATAGCAAAGACATGAAACCAACTCAAATGCCCATCAGACTGGATAATGAAAATGTGGCACATATACACCATGGAATACTATGCAGCCATAAAAAAGGATGAGTTCATGTCCTTTACAGGGACATAGATGAAGCTGGAAACCATCATTCTCAGCAAACTGACACAAGAACAGAAAACCAGACACTGCATATTCTCACTCATAAGTGGGAGTTGAACAATGAGAACACACAGACACAGGGAGGGGAACATCACACACTGAGGCCTGGAGGGTGGGGGGCTAGGGGAGGAATAGTAGGGGGTGGGGGGATTGGGGAGGGATAGCGTTAGGAGAAATACCTAATGTAGATGACAGGGCAATGGATGCAACAAACCACCACCATGGCACGTTTATACCTATGTAACAAACCTGCACGATCTGTACATGTGTCCCAGAAATTAAAGTATAATAAATATTTCATCATCTTTCAAAATAAATAAATAAATAGAAACTTGAAAAAAAAAAAGAATACATTTCTTTAGTGTTGTAAAATATTATGTAAGGATGACTCTTGGACTCCTTAAGATTGGTTACTTAAATAGAATAAGGTCCGTTGAAATATTAAGTCAGAAATGAATAAAATATCTTCACTTCCTATAAAAAAAATGCTAGAAGTTGAGGCCTTCATCAGGGACAGAAGGAAAGCTCACAGCAGGCCATCACTTCTGGAGGGAAAACATACAAAGCAGCACTGGTACCACCTAAGGTCAGAGACGGCTGACACTCTAAGACTGAGCCCCCAAGGGGGACTCCCCAGAGAATCCAACTCCAGATTTTGACCTCTCCAAAGGGATGCCCTTTGCAGAGATTCTGAGGTCTCGTACTAAGCCCTCCTTAGAATTTTCTCTTGCAGTTGCAATACTGTTTGGCCCCAGTATTGTTTGGAATCTGGAGTTTCCTGTTGAATGGGAAAGTGGGATGGAGTTGCATGTATCTGGGCTTTTATGCTGCTGTTTTAAGCAGGGTTGGACCTGGCTGTATGTGACTTTCTCCTTTGGTGCTCTTTGGCCCTGGTGTTCTTTGGAATCTGGGGGAGGTTTGGCCTTTAAAAATCAAAAAGCCATGAAAACCGATTTACCCAAAATTTTGGCTCACAGCCTCCATTGGATTACCTATTGTGGCAAACAAAGTGTAACCATGTAAAACTGGTGAGTTTGTATTACTATCTCATGGCTTGAGTTATAAGGTAAAAGCTATTGGATCTTTGTTTCTGTGTATACATGTGTACATGTGTTTATATGTATGTACACTTATGTCTGCCAAATTGGCTTATAAGAGTACTCATAAATTAAGTAAATAAGTCTAAGCAATTTTCAAGTTCATTTGACTTAAGTATAACTTTACTAAACAAGCAGGCTTTAAAATTATTGGTAAAATAAAAATAGAAATGCCTTTAGAATTGTCAGCATATATTTTTGTCTAGGTTTTACATTTGCCTCTGCTAGATATTTTGAGGTGTGTTTGGCATAGAAGGTTATAAAACTACAAACCTAGCCAAAACAAAATGTTCTTTCTGCAGATTTTTTATTGGAATAACTCTTATTGGTTTAGTGAAAACAGCTGAATCTTCTGAGTTATTGGTAAAAATGCCTATGTAGTTAAGGTTCTTATTTTGGTGAACACCTAATATTCACATATTATGAAATGGTTAACAAGGAAATGACTCACTTTAAATGATGGTGTCTAATATCTCAGTTTTCAGAAGTAATCTAAATGGTTAAATGTCAAAATTATTTTTGATGCTCACTGAATATCTGGGTCATTTCCAATTAAGAAGTAACAAAAGGATCAGATGCCACGCCCTTTGCAATGCCCCACCTTTTCTGCACCGCAGATGAAAAATGAAAGTATCTCTAATTGGTCCCTTCCTGCAACCAATTAGACTGGTTGTGGGCCAAGTCTTGATTTGCATAGGAGCATAACTTTGTAACTTTACTTCAGCCTCTGACTGGTCCCTTTCAGCAATCATTCTGCAATCAGACTGTTCATGGGCTACTACTTCATCTACATAGGGTGTAGATCAAGTAGCCAATGGGAAACCTCTACAGGGCATTTAAACAATTGGTTACTTGATGTACACCCTATGTAAATGAAAGGGTTGTGTTATGGGGAAATGCTTCTAAAAATTGTGGAATCATTCTTATCTATAAAATGCTCTTATCAGATAGTTCAGGATTTCTTGCTTTTTAGGGTTTCACTAAAATTTAAGGTCACTAAGGAAAAGAATTCTAGTTAACACATAATTATGTATATAAAATGTGCCAAAAATTTGTGTTATTAGAGAAAAGGAAAAAAATTGTCTAATTCAGAACTTACCCAAAGTTAGTTCAAATTACAGATTTGAAATGGTCATTTATGAAACAATGTAGAAAGGAACCACTAAGTAGGGGAGAACGATGTGGAAAAAGTTATGTATATGAAGTTGTATTTTTGGTAAGGAGGGTTATAAAGAAAACTTAGTAATTTTGTATGAGAAAGAATCTTGTATGGCAAAGTTTTTTTGGCCAAAAGTAAAATGACTGGTTATTTAAAGAAAAAGAAAATCTGGGACTGAACAGAAAGCACAGGCATGTCATGGATAATCTGTGTAAGTCATATGTAATTTTTCCTGTTTTTTTCCTTCGTGTCTGTCTTCATGCACATATACAGAAAATAGGAAGCTGAAATAGTTTAGGTGTAAAATATTCTTAAAACCTGATAGATAATTGGAAAAATTTGGCTAATTAACATTTTCATAGCTAAAACTTAGTCTTGATTGAAGTAAAATAAGAAATTTTGTAAAGAAATGCATTGGCAGTTTAGCAATTCTTTTTTAATATAGTTATACATGAAGCTAGATTTCGTGTGGGGCCAAATTTCACATACATGGTTACATTGCTTCACACTATGTTTACTGTTTCGCATGGATAGTGCTGGCACTGGAGTAACTACTGGTTAGTGAATTTGATTGCATAGGATGTATGGTGATATTGGTGGACATAAGGATACTGAATTGTGTATCCGGAAGAAAATATTAATCATGAGTTATTTTACGGCCCTGGGTGATGCTATAGCCTCCTGGTTGGACTGAGTAGGAAAAATCTAGGGTTGGTTTCTGTTTGTTTTTGCTTCTGATTGCATGTTTGCTGTTTGTTCCGTGGATTTTGCTTATGTTTGCATTTATATAAAACTATTGATGTTTTTGTTTCTAATGGAAAGCTTTTATTTGGTTCTACGATTTGTTCTATTTATCTAAAGTTACTAAGCTACTTTGGTCTAGCCTCCAAAATTTGACAAGAGGACACAAGCCATTTAAAATTTGGTTGGTTTTGTTTACCTCTAATGATCTAGAAAACTACAAGAGCTTTAAGGTTTCTGGCAAAAAATAATAATAATAAATGACAAGTTCTGAACAGAAAGAGTACATTATATACTCTGTTATTTGGAAAAAGTAGGTGAGAATAAAAATGTTTGCGTGGTGCTTTTCAGGATGACTCAATTGAATCAATACTTTGGGTTGGTTTCAGATATTTTCCTTTCATGAAGAAAAAGTGCAATGGGTACAGTTTTAATTTTAATGTTCAGGAAACACTGGCTTTACCAGTAAGGAAATTGATTAGAATTTTCTCTCAAGCTAATTTATTTGTGTTTACTACTCTTTAAATTAGAGTGACATTCACTTGGATTAAGTAGTAATTTTTAAAAAGGTGAGACTTTGTAGTGATTTTTTTTTTTTAAGATAGAGTCTTGCTCTGTCGCCAGGTGCCAGCCTGGAGTGCAGTGGCGCAATCTTGGCTCACTGCAACCTCTGCCTCCCGGGTTCAAGCAATTCTCCTGCCTCAGCCTCCTGAGTAGCTGGGATTACAGGTGTGCACCACCATGCCCAGCTAATTTTTGTATTTTTTTTTTCAGTAGAGACGGGGTTTCACCATGTTGGCCAGGATGGTTTCAATCTCTTGACCTTGTGATCTGTCCACCTCGGCCTCCCAAAGTGCTGGAATTACAGGTGTGAGCCACCGCACCCAGCCTGTAGTGATTTTTGATCTCAAGCTGTCCATCACTGATGGGACTTCATGTGTGTACTTGAAAACAAAATATGTGCAGGTGGTACAATAGTCTGAAAATTTTGGTGGTGAAAGTTACCTAATCAGCTGTCAGTGTCTCTAGAAAACAATCTTGGAATTGTGTGATGGTGTGCTTTTTAAAGAAACTGTGCAAATAAACTGGTGCTTGTTTTTACTTTGTCTTTGTTTTGTTGCACAATATTTAAACGTAAAGAGATTATTTCTCATATTGAATTTCCAAAACTGATACTTGTGCTTATCATTTTTTAAGGATGAAAAGTTAGTTGTCTTACTTTGATGAGTTTGTCACAGGACTTATATTTTTGATGCTTTTGGTCACAGTTCTGTCACTAATAGCAAGTAGACATATGCAATGAGTAACCTAACTACTTTAATACAGCAGGCAGTAATTCCTAAACACCAAATCACAGCGTTTTAATTTGTAACATGTTAGAGAAAACGATGAGACCCTATATAGTGTTAAGAATCCTGTTAACCAATGCTTGTGCACCAATCCCTGCTAAATTTTAAGCATTGACACCAGTCAAAGCCTTGTTTTCAAACCTGGGAGAAGGTGACACTCAAAATGCTTTTGTGAGTCGTAAGTCTAAAAATTAAACTATTCAATCCCCCTAGGCCCAGGGACTGCACCAGAAGAGGTAGGCACATGAGACTGTGAGGGGTAATTTTGAGAGATAAGATTAGTTCAGGGATTTTCTATAAATTAAACATTAACATAAAAAGAGCACTGATGCAAGACCAGTATCTGGGCCCATGTATTACAATAGCAGGGTTTTCTTGGAGCATTGTTCTGCTGTTTAGAAGAAAATTGTAAAATGTTATAAAAAATTTATGGAAATCTTACCTTATGGTCAAAGTAATCCAAACTAGATAGATTTGTTTGTAAGGTTTTATTAAAATTAGCATTCACATTAATAATATACCATACAAAGGTAAGCTCTGGTTTTCTCTCTTGAACAAAATGTTTGTGTAGTATTAAGAGATAAAATATTTTGTTTACCTTTTGAGTAAACTGCAGGGAGAAAATGGAGGGGAACAGACAGATTTAGTTGGCCTCATGCTGTCTTTCTTAAGTGTTAGGTTAACTGAGTTTTCTCTCTATCAAAGAGTAAATGTTTTTGCATTATAATTTTGGCTACCTAAATGACAATTTTTTTTTACTAGAAATATAACCGTTTACCTAAATGACAATTTTATATTAACTTATGATCCTATTTTGTAGTATCGAGTATATGAAATCTTTGAAATCTCACAGACTTTCCAATGATAAAACTTCAAGTTCTAAATTCAGTCTTTTTGACCTTAAACTAACTTTTTGGATTTTAGGCACCCTGAAGTCCAAGTGACATATTAGGCTTATTTGTAATGTTAGAATTACACAGGAAAGATTGTCAAGTCTGAGGTGGTGTTTAGCTTCCTTTGAGTTATATTGATATAGATTTGTTGTTAACATGTGTTCGAAGATTGATGAAATTTCTAAAATTCTGATATGTCTTAATACCTGCAATAATTATGATTATGTTAAGTTGTTATACGCCACAGAAATAACCGAACTTGTTAACCGTGTCTTTATATGGATGTCTTAAGACTTTTGTCATTCATAATTGATGTTTTGCTTTGATCCTTCTCAAAAAAAAAAAAGTGACTTGTAATCAATCAGTTACAGTCCAAGGCTTATTTCTTTGGAGGAGTTCCTGAAAAGAACTCTTGAATGCAGGTTTCTGGTAACTTTGGAGTGTACCATTAGATTAGACAGAAAACTTCCAAGGCACTAATTGAAAGGCTGAGGTGTTCACAAAGATGAATATGAAGTAGAGCAGGAGTTAACTACATAGGCTGAAATGAACTAATGGACGACAGAAATAATTTGTATGTATGGCTTTTGTTGTTTGAAATAGTGCTAATTCTTTTCTTTTTTTCAGAGTCTGAGTATCTTTTTCTTTTGAGCTATTTATAGCCTTGAACTATAAGTGTATTGAGTACACTTTTGTAAACAAATAGAATTTGCGTCGTATTTCTAATTTCTCCAGAATTTGTAAACTATGAATATTCTTAAATCTTGGTAATGTATTTGTATCAAGTTAGTAACCACGTTTTCTTTTGTAATAAATAGGACACAATTGAAGAAACCAGTTACTTTCTCAGGACTTTGACCGAAATGGCCTTGTGAAATGTTCCAGCAAAGCCAATCTAGGAGCGTCTATATGGACAATTATTCTTGTTGTACTTTGTGTGGGTAATCAGGCCAAGTATATGGGACTGAAGCTTATTTTGAAGTTAGATGGGTTCTACTGTGATTTGTCTTTGGTGGAAGTGGCAGACTAGAGACAGAAGTATTGTATGTCCCAAAATTAATATAGCTCCCAACAACCAATCCCTTATTGTACCTTTAACCGCAACCACCAGACACAAGGGTTGGGAGTAAAAGCAGGGGTAGGAATGGGAGTTAGAGGGATTGCAACTTCCCTATCCTATTACCAATACTTGTACAAGGATTTTATGGAAAGCTTGGATGACACTGCCCAAAGTATCGTCACCTTATAAAATCAGATGGACTCCTTGGCAGTGGTTGCTTTGCAAAATCGACGGGGATTACATCTCCTAACTGCTGAAAAAGGTGGCTTACGTCTTTTTCCTAAAAGAATGCTGTTTTGATGTCAACCAATCAGGATTAATAAGGAATGCCACCTGAAAACTAGTTGACTGGGCCTCCAAAATATGACAACAGCAGTCCGGGTCATGGGGCACCTGAAGGGCACTAAGTTGGGTTTCATGGCTCCTTCCCTTGGCCAGCCCATTATTAATGATTATACTTGCCTTGGTTTTTGGACCATGTTTGTTAAATCTTTTAACCAAGTCCATTACCTTTTGCCTAGAGACCACTGCGTTAGACGATCAAGCGGCAAGATTTCTAGCCAGTTTCAGGTGAAGACACCACCAGCCATCAAGAAGCTACCCTGTCTCCACTAGATAGAGCAGGGTGACAGTTATGTCATCTCCAATAGGTAGGGACTGTTTCCCAAGTTAGCATGGAGCAGTTACAGAAGAAAGACCCTGTCTCTTGGCCTCCCATAAAGATTTAAGAGGATCGTATCTCTCAGAGGAAAAATGAGGCAGGAGAATAAGGTCTGGAGGCAGGGACTAAGGCCAATTTGTGTTGACTTCCTAGAAGTCAATCAAAAGGAAAGCCCTACCTCTCCAAACCTAAGAAACAAAAGGATCAGAGGCTACTCCCTTTGCAATCCCCTCGCCTTTTTTGTGTTGCAGATGAAAAATGAAAGTACCTCTGATTGGTCCCCTCCTGCAACCAATCAGACTGGTTGTGGGCCAAGTCTTCATTTACACAGGAGTATAACTTTGTAACTTCACTTCAGCCTCTGAGTGGTCACTTTCTGCAACCACTCAGACAGGTCTTGGGCCACTACTTCATTTACATAGGGTATACACCAACTAACCAATGGCAAACCTCTAGAGGGTATTTAAACCCCAGAAAATTCTGTAACCAGTGCTCTTGAGCCACTTGCTTGAGCCTGCACTCTGTGGAGCATACGTTCATTTCAATATATCTGTGCTTTTTTTCATTGCTTTGTTTGTGCATTTTGTCCAATTCTTTGTCCAAAATGCCAAGAACCTGGACACCCTCCACCAGTAACAGTTTGACCAGTTATTTACTGTATTACTTAGGACAGCATTTGGCTGCATGTAAGAGAAATCTGACAGAGGCCTAATTAAGCACAGTGTTTATTCTTCTCATGAATCAAGAAGTCAGAGGTCAGCAATTCAAGCTGGTGTTAGCAGCTCCTTGAGGTCTGTCAGCAAGGAGTTAAGCTCTGAGTCTTTTCACTAACATGACCCGAAGCATGTAGCTGCCTTCCTTATGCCTAAAAATGGCTCTGGTACTCAGGTTTTATCTTCCTACTCAAAGTAGGATGAAGAGATAAGAGCAAAGGCTCATGCTTGCCAAGTCTGTCCTTTTGTTATCAAAAAACCCAGCAGGTTTATCAAGCATAATTCCACTTCTATCTCTTAACTTGCCAGAGCTGTCTCATGGCCACCCTTAGCAGGAGTTGGGGAGGTATTTTTAACTAGGCACATTACCATCTCTCCAACCCAAAGTGGAGCTATTGTTAATGAAAAAGATACAATGAGATATTTATGAAATTCTTTGTAGCTATTAATGTCAGGTCTTTGAAATTTACTGACCTGAAAGAATACTCATAACGTAATATCAAGTGAGAAGCAGGACAAAGAACATTTGCAATACAACTGTATTTCTAACATTTTGTTTACACACAAAGAAGTATTTTGCTTAAAAATATAATTTACATATATACACACCCATACAAGGGAAATAACAAAATAATACTAGCTAATTTCTATAGAGTTGGCATTTTAAGTCAGAGGGGTATTGATGAATAGATGTAGTTTATTAATTTTTTTCCTGTATTTCCTAAATTTTCCATATGGAACTTGTAGTATCTTTATAACAGGAAAAAAATGTTATTAAAAAAAAACCACCCCATATGCTTTCAAAGTAGACCAAATTCAAACTATTTACACTTACTCATTTTCATCTTCATTGTCAAAAGAAAGGAGGCTACTGTTTTTTATTTGCTTTTGTGAGTTCTTTTTGACTGAGTCCTGATTTATTTCATCTTCATGTGGCTTCTTCTTTTTTGAGCTTGCTGTTAAACCTGAACATTTTTCATTCGAAGGACGCTTGACTGGTTTTCGATATAGAATTCTTCCATCAGCTGAAGCTGGTTCTTCATCTGAGCAAAAAACAGATTTTTAAGAACTTTCTTCTCTCCTCATTACTTTGTCTTTGAAAAATCTCATATTGTATTTAAGGGTGTCCCTGAATCTGATTCAGTCTGATCCTCTCCCTTGTTTCTAGATTGCCCTCAAGACATGCAGTTACTGAATAAAAACTCACATGCTAAAGTATTCTATAATATTGTCAGATCCCAGTTACAATTAGGTTATATTTTTAAGTGTTTTGAAAGTGATTGGAACTACAACATTTTCCCCTAAAGCAATGTAGTAAATGTTCAGAAATAATGAAAAATACACTACATAGCATACCAAACAGTAATGAAACAGACCTTTTTTGAGTGGTTTATAAGTCTAACCATCTATTTAAAAAAAAATAGGATGCCTTTACTTAAACTCACACTTAATCCTATAACAACCCAATGGGTACAATTACTTCCATTTTACTGATGAGGAAATTAAGGCTGAGCAATGTAATAACTTGCTCAAGGTTATACATCTGGTAAGTGTCAAAGCTAAAGCCTGAACCTGGAACTGTCTCCTTGAAACATACCACGCTGCTAAACAAAATAAACAATTTTGTACCCTGGGCTCCGTAAATTGTTAGAAAAACCAGATTACTTTCAGACCTACCTGCTCTGGCAGCCTTTATTTCTGCTTTAATTTTCATGACTTCCTCAAGTGATAGGTCTCCCTTTTTCAAAACCACCACTTGAGGCTGTTCATCTTCTTTGTCACTGTGATCCCCGTCTTCATCTGGGAGCTGAGGCTGGATTTTCTAGGGAAAAACACAAATACAAGGTGTAGATCACTGATCTTTTAGACAAACAGAACCACTGCCTCTAAGAGAAACTGTAGTTTTTCGTGAGAAGGGTATCTTTATTGAGTAAATGAATTGGCAATGAATTTTAAGGTAACTGCAAAGAGACTAAGCTTGCCAAAGGGAACAGGTTTCACTGCCACTCACCCTGAAATGCCTTCTAGTGATTCATTTCCATTTCAGCAGGACCCAGCCTGTGGTTACTAGTGTGAGGGTCTCTCTGCTTTGGGTACTGTTGTCATTCCTAGCCTACTCAGGCCAGCACTGTGCCATGTCAGTTGTTTGCTTCTCATCAACACTTTTCACCTGTTTCTTCTCCGACTTAGACAAGAAATAAACACCACCCAAGTATAGAAAGCAACAAGTAAATCTCTTTCTCTCACCTCTGCTCATCTTTTCGCCCTCCTAATACCTTCAGTTTGGTAGATATCCTAATAGCTATTTTCCAAGTCTATAAAACTATGTAGGTTCATAAAACTTTTTGTATACCAACAACACTGTACATGTTACTGTGACTTGCTTTTTTCTTATTTATGAAATTTTTCAAATATGAGGTACAGAGAATAACACAACAGAAACCATGCACTCCCTGTAAGTGTAACAAATGGTAATATTTTGCTGGTTGATTCAGATTTTTGAAATCTCACACACCATAAGAGCCCCACTCTCACAACTTAACTAAAAAAAATCTTTGCACAGTACTTTAAGACACATATAAAATTATTTGATTTTTAAAAAATCAATGCCTTGCATTTAATTACATATATGGTAATCTCATGATTTGACCAGTATTTTGTAAATAAAAACTTTGCTTGTTTCCAGATTTTTTTCTACTACGAAAAAACTTCATACACTCTTTTTGCTCACTTCTGGGAACTTATATGCAAGAACTTCTAATGTTAAGTTACTAAAAGTGAAACTGTTGGGTTGAAAGGTATGCACACCAAAATGTGTTTTCACACGTTATTCAAACACAATCGCTCATTACTCCACCTCTCACAGAGTCTTCCTTGTCTCCTAAACAAGGCAACAAAGCCCTGCAAGAACTAGCCTCAGCCCATAACCATAGCTTTATCCCGTGCCACTCTCATGGCATCTAGGCTCTAGCAAGGTTTGAGTACTTGGAGATTCATAAATATATTAGCTCCTTTGCTTTTCCTGTCTCTGAACAAATTCGTACTGCCAATTAAGCCCCACTGTCCCTGGCCAACTCATAATCAAGCTGCCTTCCAGATTTAGAGCCTCTGGAAGTATTTACCTCCACTTCGTTCTTATGCTGTGCATAGCTCATAGGTAGGCAAGTATTTCTGGAAGTCCCTGCTGTTTCCAGCCTGGGTAACGGCGAGACCCTGTCTCAAAAATAAATAAATAAAAAATCAAAGCCATTTTGTGAGGCTATAGCCGTCATGGATAGTAATTCCTCTGATGCATCTGTGTCCTTATCTGGAATACGGGACGACGCTGTAACTGCAACTCACCCTGCGAACTCAGCTTTTGAGGCAAACAAGTGACAAAAAGCCAGAAAAGTGATCTTTCTTTACCATCATCTATCAAGGACCAGGCGGTTTACCCGTCAGGTCATTTTCAGGAACACAGTGGAGCTCTGAAAACTACAGAGCTTCCTGAGCGTAGGGGGCTGCAGTCGCCTGAAAACCAGCCTGGGGTAGGATTCCACCAGAATTGGGGCCGAGCGCGGGTGAAAAGAGGGACCCGACAGCACCCAGCCTCCAAGTAGAGGCGGAAATTGGAAGTGGCGGGCGGGCCTCGCTTCCAAAGTATCACGACTGGCGAGAGCTCACCTTGGTCTCTACGGTGGGCCCCTCCCTGTAGCCGACCCGTTCCTTGAAGCGAGCCAGGAACGCTGGTTCGGTTGGCCGCACGTAAGATACCTGGTTCCGCTTGCTCATGGTAGCTCCGGATAAAGACAAGTTCCGCGACGGATTGGCGACGATACAGAGGCGAGGGCACTTAGCTGTGACGTCACTGGGCCACGCCCCCGATGCTTAGGCCGGGCAACATGGCGGCCTCCTCGCGGGCGTCAACGTCTGATCCAAGCGCCAAATTCAAAATCGCGGCCATCTTGAGCGGGCGGAATTCGGTCGCGCGGCGCAGTCAGGAGGTGGGGGCATCAGCTGCATTGTTCTCGGAAACGAAGGGTGAGGGCGCTATGGCGCCCGGCTGCAAAAGTAAGTTTGGAGCCCGGCTTCGTTACCCTATCTTTGCCCCCAAAAACAGCTGTGAAAGAATAGCAGCCTGTGACCACCCGCAAGGTTCTTGCTGGGCACGAGCTGCAGGGACTGACCTGGGGCGGGAACGGCGGGTGCGTTTGGGAATCCCTCCCTGTCGCTCAAAGACAATAGGCTGGCCGTAAAGCTCACCCCTTCCTTCTGTGTCGTGTGTGGATGCTAAGAGTCTGGCGTATTTATAGGTGCTCGGATGAGCAGTGGACCTGCGGTTCTTCCCTTTCTTTCCCTCGGTTCTGCTGTTTCTTCGCAGCCCTCTTCCCACATCCCGACCAGGGCTACTTCTCCAGATATCGTTGTCTCACAATCGGCTTTTGCTCCCACCAGCTTCTGCGTATTTCCACATTTCTGACCTTCCTGTAAGGAAGGATATATTTATGTTCCAAACACTTCTTTCTCTTCTTTCCTTAAATAAATAGAATGTTAAAACACAGATGTCAGCAATGTCTTTATATTCTTACAGTCTATTTCACTTAAAGGAGACCCGTCCGATTTCTTTCTCTTTTTCACGGAGGAGAGCACTGTTATTTCTGCTTACGATAAACGTTTCAGTTTTCACTAGTCATTTGCTGTTCCTGTGTACGTGCGCCACTTCTTACATTGCCACATCTCTTAAGGAGTCTTGTTTTTTAAAGCTGATGATTATGAGCTGATTTAATGGGATCTTTGTGAGTGGTCTGAATGGTAATGAGGAGAGGCCTAGATGAGATGATTAAGAATTTGTGAACTTCTGTCATTTGAGCTTTCCAACAGCGTTAATGTTTCCAGCTTTCTGTCAATTGTAATTGCTTTTGATGGGTTTATTAACCTGTTAGGTCGATCACGTCATTATCTGAACACCTCTCTATGCTATCTTTTTCCGTCAAAAATATTTATTTTTCTTCATTTTCGGTGTGCAAGGACGATGAGCTCACAAAATAGTACCTTATCGGAGAGAAATGTTCATCCTGCTTTCTGAACAATCATACAGTTTTTTCCCACTTATAGATCAGGTCACTAAATTTGGACTCAAGCAAAAAAATTTGATGCCTTTGACATAAGTAGAGCATCTGCTTATTTAATGAGATATATGTAGGGTTCTTGTCTGAAAACCAGATTTGAGAACTTAAGTTTTGGGAGCACTCTTGTTTATGACGGTGGTGATGCCATGGGGAACTTTTCCATTCCCTTAAGTTTGTTGGCAAAATTGAGGTTGATGACCTCCCAGGTGAAGTGCATCTTGCATTCCCAGCAGCCCAGAGGCCTGGAGCATGAAGTGGGAACACATGGGCGAAGAGAGCTCATGTAGTGGTCTTTGCACCTTTTATTTTGTGCCCATGAAGGCTATCTCTAGAGACATCATTGGCACCAGGTGTTGCTGACTGTGAAATAATATAATGAAAAAGTGAAATATTACCCTTATGGAACTGATTGTATTTACGATTCCCCTTTTTTGTTGTTTATTTGTTTTTTGAGACAGAGTCTTGCTCTGTTGCCCAGACTGGAGTGCACTGATGCAATCTTGGCTCACTGCAATCCCTGCCTCCTGGGTTCAAGCAATTCTCGTGCCTCAGCCTCCCAAGTTGCTGGGACTACAAGTGTGCACCATCACACCTGGCTAATTTTTTGTATTTTAGCAGAGACAGGGTTTCACCATGTTGCCCAGGCTGATCTTGAACTCCTGAGCTCAAGCAATCCACCTGCCTTGTCCTCCCAAAGTGCTAGGATTGCAGGTGTGAGTCACTGCACCTGGCTTAAGATTTCCTTTCTGAACCTAGTCATGTTTGGGTAGATGGTGAATATTTATCTAGACTGCAAAGTAAAGCATCCAATGATCTTTTTAAAGCAGGAAGACTCTTTAAAAGACTGTTTTGTTAAGGTATAACTTCATGCAGTCAAAGGCACAAATCTTAATATTCTTCAACAAATTTTAAACATATGAATACACTCCCGTAACCACCATGCAGATCAAGAAATATAACTGTTCCTGTACTCCAGAAAGTTCCCTGTGACCCTTCCTAGTCAATAACTACCCCACCCCCAACCTTTACTCTGATTATTATCATCACTGATTAGTTTTCCTTCTATTCTTGAACTTAATATAAATGGTACAATATGTATTCTTTTTATTCTGGTTTCTTTAACTGAACATTATGTCGGTGAGCATAGTCCAGTATTGTATGTAGCAGCAGTTCTTTTTCATTGCTGTGTAGTGCTCCATTATGTGAGTATACTATGTGTCAGGCCTCCATGTGCAAGCCCAGACCCAGAAAGTTTGAAGTCCTGCCTGTCTTGGCTGATTCCCCCTCACCCCGCCCTTCCCCGCCCCCGGCATTCGTCATTATTGCTACTTGCTCAGCGGAGCTTCCCCGCTCCTTACATTAAGCTTCTTACCCCACCCTGCCATCCTAACTGTTCTTGCTCTGTGAATATCCCTCCGCCCCACCCTTCCATCTTAACTACTCTCAGGTCTTACCCCCACCCACCATTGTAACTGAAATGGTAATATATACTCCTTGCCCCTACCCCCACCACTGTAACTGATCTTACTCTTAACACCACTACACATCCCAAACCTATAAAAGCAACTGTTATCCTACCACCCTTCACTGACACCCTTTTTGGCCTCAGCCCACCTGCACCCAGGTGAATAAACAGCCATGCTGCTCACACAAAGCCGGCTTGTGGGGTCTCTTCATGCAAAGCTCAAGTTTTAACACCATGATTTGTTTATTCTCCTGTTGATTGACATTTGAAATAATTTTATAGGGAATGCCTATAGACTTCTTTTTTTTTTTCTTTTTTGAGACAGAGTCCTGCTCTGTCACCCAGGCTGGAGCGCAGTGGTACAATCTTGGCTCACTTCAACCTCCATCTTTGTTCAAGGATTCTCCTTGAGAATTTTCGATTCCTTTTAGTTTTACCAGAAAGTTGCATATAAGTGCAGATCAGTATCCATCTGATCAGCTTCCATCTGATATATTTCCCTCCTATTATTTGTTAAACCTTTGATAATTGCTCCTTAGGAAAGCACAGCTTTGGATATGCCCACCTTTATCCTGGAATGACAGTGGTTTTGATAGGGATCTCTTTCTTTCCCTGACTACATATAGCTGTTAAAGTCCAGTAATTGTTAGCTGATTGCCTTATTGTTTTCTAACGATGCCCTGGGGCATAAATTGTCTTACAAACTACTGTAATTCTTGCTTCTTTGAAGGAGTAGTTTCTGAGGTTGTCTTTGGTATTTGTTGTGACTCCAGTGTAGCTGCTGCTAGTTGTCTTATTTCCCACTGTCTTCTGGCAAGCCAACAGGCCTGCAATTTAGCTTGTGTCTTGAATGTCTTCCTAATTGCTTTCATTAAAACTGACACTGTTCCTGAGAGTGCCCTTAGGTTTGAACATCACTCTGTTGCCCAGGCTGGAGTGCAGTGGTGCTATCTTGGTTCACTGCAACCTCCCCCTCCCGGGTTCAGGCAATTCTTCTGTCTCAGCATCCCAAGTAGCTGGGACTACAGGCATGCACCGCCATGCCTGGCCAATTTTTTGTATCTTTAATAGAGATGGGGTTTCATCATATTGGCCAGGTTGGTCTCAAACGCCTGCCTCAGCCTTCCAAAGTGCTGGGATTATAGGCGTGAGCCACCGCTTCTGGCCTTTTTTTTTTTTTCTCTCTTTGAGATGGAGTCTCGCTCAGTCACCTAGGCTGGAATGCAGTGCCATGGACTCAGCTCACTGCAACCTCCACCTCCTGAGTTCAAGTGACTCTCCTGCCTCAGCCTCCCAAGTAGCTGAGATTATAGGCATGCACCACCATGCCCAGCTAATTTTTGTTTTGCATTTTTAGTAGAGATGGGGTTTCACCATGTTGGCCAGGCTGGTCCAAAACTCCTGACTTCAAGTGATCCACCCACCTCAGCCTCCCAAATTGCTGGAATTACAGGCATGAACCACCTGTAATCTGTTTATGGGTTGATTCTTCCTGTAGGCAAAATCTCTGAGCCTGCGCACTAGAGTTGGGGATGGAGTTAATAGGATAATGGCAGTCTTGTCTCTGAATGATATTCTAGTTGCAAAGCCTTTTGTGGGGAGGGTGTGGAGTGTAGCAGCCTCTGGTCTTCTAAACTTTCCTCTCCTGTGTGGAACCACTGCCTAATGAGTTAGAGCAAGGGTGATCAGGGCCCCAGTGTTCTCAGCTAGGTGGGAGAAGGGAGAGCCCCCACCTCTCAACCACACTTGTCTGGGACTTTACCTCAGCATCAGGTAGCTAGCCGGAGACACTGACACACTGCTACTCTATAGAAGAAACTGGAATTGGGAGCTCAAGGGATCCCTGTGTTCCTGGATGCTGCAATCTACAGAGGAGTATTTACCTTGCTAAGATGGGAGGGAGAGAGTAATCTTGGTTCAAATAACACAGGATCACCTTTCTTGATGATTTTTCATGTATTTTCTTGAACAGATGTTTCTTTGTTTGCCGTTTGCCTTTGGAAACATTTCCAGAGGCTTTATTTTTTTTTTTTTTAATTGTACCAGTTTCACTGGGGAGTGGGTCAGTGGAGTTCCTATAATGTCATGGCAGAAGTCAATCTCTGACTTCTTTTTTAAAAGAATTATTCTGCCTGCTAGGTTGAGAAAAGTGAGAGTGGGGGAGAGAAAGAAGCAGAGAGATTGTTGTAATAACACAAGAAAGAGATGTTGCTGGCTTGGTTCCACACTGTGACAGTGGATTTGGCAGGAAGTTACAGAATTATAGCCAAAGCTTTC